CATGTTATACTGAGGAGGATTGACGTGCTGCAGTTGCTGCAGTTGCTGCAGTTGCTGCAGTTTGCTGCAGTTGCAAGGCAGTTTGAGACACCGTAAACGTTGAAAGAAAGGAAAAACGTCGAAATCGAGAGGAGAATATCCGCTACACTGCTGTGAGAGGGTAAACACACTGCTGTGAGGAGGGTAAACACATGCTGTGAGGAGGGTAAGCACACTTCTGTGAGGAGGGTAAGCACACTGCTGTGAGGAGGGTAAACACACTGCTGTGAGGAGGGTAAGCACACTGCTGTGAGGAGGGTAAACACACTGCTGTGAGGAGGGTAAGCACACTGCTGTGAGGAGGGTAAACACACTGCTGTGAGGAGGGTAAACACACTGCTGTGAGGAGGGTAAGCACACTGCTGTGAGAGGGTAAACACACTGCTGTGAGGAGGGTAAACACACTGCTGTGAGGAGGGTAAACACACTGCTGTGAGGAGGGTAAGCACACTGCTGTGAGGAGGGTAAACACACTGCTGTGAGGAGGGTAAGCACACTGCTGTGAGGAGGGTAAACACACTGCTGTGAGGAGGGTAAGCACACTGCTGTGAGGAGGGTAAACACACTGCTGTGAGGAGGGTAAACACACTGCTGTGAGGAGGGTAAGCACACTGCTGTGAGGAGGGTAAACACACTGCTGTGAGGAGGGTAAGCACACTGCTGTGAGGAGGGTAAACACACTGCTGTGAGGAGGGTAAACACACTGCTGTGAGGAGGGTAAACACACTGCTGTGAGGAGGGTAAGCACACTGCTGTGAGGAGGGTAAGCACACTGCTGTGAGGAGGGTAAACACACTGCTGTGAGGAGGGTAAACACACTGCTGTGAGGAGGGTAAGCACACTGCTGTGAGGAGGGTAAGCACACTGCTGTGAGGAGGGTAAACACACTGCTGTGAGGAGGGTAAGCACACTGCTGTGAGGAGGGTAAACACACTGCTGTGAGGAGGGTAAACACACTGCTGTGAGGAGGGTAAGCACACTGCTGTGAGGAGGGTAAACACACTGCTGTGAGGAGGGTAAGCACACTGCTGTGAGGAGGGTAAGCACACTGCTGTGAGGAGGGTAAGCACACTGCTGTGAGGAGGGTAAACACACTGCTGTGAGGAGGGTAAGCACACTGCTGTGAGGAGGGTAAACACACTGCTGTGAGGAGGGTAAGCACACTGCTGTGAGGAGGGTAAACACACTGCTGTGAGGAGGGTAAGCACACTGCTGTGAGGAGGGTAAACACACTGCTGTGAGGAGGGTAAGCACACTGCTGTGAGGAGGGTAAACACACTGCTGTGAGGAGGGTAAGCACACTGTCACGAAATTCAAAACAAAATCCTACAAATGCTTCCCGTCGTTATGGTACAACCGTTTGTCACCTTCACGTCATCTACCTCCTCGCCTTCACCTCCCCTCCCTGTCCTCCCAAGGCGCCCTCACCATCTCCTCCGTCTCCATCTTCCTTGCCTTCTACCGCTCCCCTCCCTTCGCTTCCCTCCTCTTCCTCCCACAGCTGCTCGGGCTTGGTCTCACCCGCTGTCTGGTCGGGAGAAAAAGACAAAACAATACCTCATACGCGCCTCTACGCTTGTCCATTCACGTTGCTTCCCTTGTCATCCTCACCTCACCTCACCTCACCTCACCTCCCCTCCCCTCCCTGTCTGCCTCCCAGGCGAGGTGACTTTTGAGTCGACTCAAAAGTCACCTTTTTCCCTTGTCATCCTCCCTGTCTGCCTCTACGCTTGTCCATTCACGTCGTTTCCCCAGTCATCCTCCCCTCCCCTCCCCTCTCCTCCCCTCCCCTCACCCACCTCCCCTCCCCTCCCTTTCCCTTTTCCCTCCCCTCCCTGTCTGTCTCCCTCAGGCGCTCTCACCGTCTCCTCCCTCTCCACCTTCCTTGCCTTCTACCGCGCCTCTCCCCTCGCCTCGCTCCTCTTCCTCCCCTCCTGCTCTGGCTCGGCCTTGTCTCCGCCATCACCTATTCCATCTGGACCAATCACAGTGTGGTCCTCGACAAGCTACAGGACAAGCTACAGTGGGGCGATTTGCAGGCGACGGCTGGCAAGATTTTGAGTGATTTCCGCGGGCGTATTGACAGCAGTGGCAGTGGTGGTAGCAGCAGCAGTGGTGGCAGCGGTGAGGGGAGTGGGTGGGGCACGGAGGATGGGATGGTGGGGAATGGTCGGCTGCTCGTAGCAACCAGAACAAGCGCATTGACTGACTGTGCTGCTAGGTTGCCCAGCTCCGTGGGCTGTTTGCTCTGGTTGTTGCTGTAGTGAATACAGGTGGGCTGCGGATCACGTGGCTTACCGTATCTCCATCCGATCACGTGGCTTGCTGTGGGTTGCTTTGCCCTGGGTGATGGGGGGCTGCGTTCTTTAGTTCATGTATAGTCTGGTGCCTGTTAGTTGTGGCAGTGGTGGAAAGTTCGCTCTGCAGGCACTGCGAGGTGCTGGAGGCTTGGGGGGGGGGGGGGAGGGGGGGGTGGTTGAGGGGAATTGTGTTTCTCCACTTGTGTTTGTGGTTAGCATTCCCATAAATATGTAAAAAAATTTCACGTATCTCCAGACCAGACTTTCCCAGAGTTGCTGCAGTTTTCCGGAGTTGCTGCAGTTTTTAGAGCGTATTCATGGAAGTGCAATTTGGCAAGTAAGAATAAGGCATCCACACCTGATCACAATCACAAATCCACACTCAAGCAACAATAATGTGGCACTAACGGGCCCAAAGCAGACCACCCAAAGCGCCACTGCCCTCTCACAGCACCATGCAAGAAGCTCTTACCTGCCGAGTACATGATACTGTTAAATTATATATTGTGTTATGTAATTGGTAGGCTTGGTAGGTTACCGAACTCTACTGTAGAGGGTACAACTCCCTCCTTGTATGCCTCTCTCTTCCTAGTGTTTCTCTCTTTCCTCTCGTAACTTTCCCCTAGCTAAACCTCACGCCATTTCCATGGCTTCCTAGCTACCTACCTTAGCTTAACAGATACATGCATGCACCCTGGTTCAAGCACTCGCGCCTTGCAACTTGGGAGGGACTTGGGCGGCTTCAAGCCGGCAACGCAAGAGGCTGAACCGCGATCACCGACCTCACAGAGTGCCCCGTCCCATCCTCCCACGTCAGGCTCCCAAACACAAATTCCTCAGAAACAGCCGTGGGCGTTAAAGTCACAGTAAAGCTCACTGTCGCCGCCGGCTCGATGTCAAACGTGCTCGGCTGAACCGTCACGTCAACCCCACTCGGCGCCACGACAGCCGCAGTATACGTTGCTTTCACGCCGCCCACATTAGTCACCCGCCTCTTCACAATCACACTGCCCTGAAGCCGCGACACCGAGATCGACGCCCGGTTCAGATTATACGCGGGAATCGGCGCCAGAGTGAGATCCGCGGGCTTGACTTGCGCTGCTTCCGTCGCATCCTGCCCCGCCAGAAAATTGTAAAAATCCTCGCTGTTGGCCGGGTAGACCAACCCCGGATCTACCATCTTCGCAGCACTCACATGCCCCTGGCCCATAGCCCACGGGGTGGCATCCGCGCCATACGCATCCTTGATAGGTCCCCCCTTATTACTGACAGTATCAGCAGTGGTCTGCATGGCTGACATCACTTCCGCGGGGGTCCAAGCGGGGTTACTCTGCATCACCAGAGCAGCAATCCAGCAGTGATCGACGCAGCGACACCTGTACCCGAAGCCATAGCTACTGCTGCGCTTTTCATCTTGGCTTTGGCCACGGTGCCGGGAGCAGCCCCAAAGAGGCACACACCCGGGGCGATGAGGTCCGGCTTGAGAATGTCGTTGGTGGGGCGGCAGGTTCGGGTGTGAGCGAGGGTCGGTGACGGGGCCTGTGGATGAGGTGAAGAACATGGCGGGGGCTTCGCCAGCGCCGGAGGTGGCTCGCTGGGCAATGGTGACCTTGGAGGAGAGGAGAGGGAGGGAGGGGAGGGAGGGAGGGAGGAGAGGAGGGAGAGAGGAGGAGGGAGGAGGGAGGGAGGGAGGGAGGGAGGGAGGAGGAGGAGGAGGGAGGGAGGAGGTAGAGAAAGGGAGGAGAGGAGGAGGAGGAGAGGAGGGAGGGAGGAGGAGGGAGAGGAGGAGAAGGAGGAGGAATCAGGTAGAGGAAAGGGAGGGAGGGATGTGGGACGAGAATTCAGAGTAGGCCAAGGGGGAACGGGTAAAGGGCCTGTGGAGTGGATGAGTGCTGGAGCCTGGCAGCACTCCCCCCTTCCCCTCACACCCACCTGGCCGTTCCACCGATATACTCCTGCAGCGTGCTCCGCTCGCTCCCCAGCAGCAGCACCACGGGCAGACACGCGTCGTATGATATAGAGGGCCATACACCGCCGGAATGCCCCGCAGGAGAATTATCCGCGTTCACCCTCCTGATCACCCCTTGCACTCACCTGGCCGTTCCACCGATATACTCCTGCAGTGTGCTCCGCTCGCTCCCCAGCAGCAGCACCACGGGCAGGCGTGCGTCGTATGGTATCAGAGCATCATTTCCCACCAGATTGTCCGCCAGCAGAATGATCCCCGCGCTTTCTGGCCAGCACCTCTTGCACCATGTCGACTACCAGAACCCACCCGCCAATGCACACAACCACCTTGCCCTTCACGCCTTGTTCAGGGACCCGGCTCGCAGTAGGGAGCCTATAGAGACAGAGTGAGGAAAGAGAGAGAGAGGGCGGAGAGGCAGAGAGAAAGAAGGGGCGGAGAGGCAGGGGGACGGGCCGGGAGACGTTGATTGGAGGTTGAGGAGGAGGGAGTGTTGGTCACGTGGAGACTTGGGCAGTGCGTTCCGCCTTGTGAGGCGAGGGGCGAAGCATCAACACGAGGGCGAAGCATCAACACGAGGGGCGAAGCATCAACATGAGGGGCGAAGCATCAACACGAGGGGCGAAGCATCAACCACTAGGGGCGAAGCATCAACACGAGGGGCGAAGCATCAACACGAGGGGTGAAGCATCAACACGACAGGCAAAGCATCAACATGAGGGGCGAAGCATCCACTTGAGATCAACGCACAGCAGCAACATTCCAGGAGCGGCTGCCCCCGCCACAACAGGCAGCTTGGGCTTGATGGTTCCTCCCCCATGCCCCGGCCCTGCCAGCACCGTCCCGTTACCGAGTGTCACCGTTGTGAAATACCGCTGGCTCGTGGAGCTGAAGCGTTGACACAAGGAGGGAGGGAAAAGCGGCAAGGGGGTAAACAGGGGAGAGGGAGGAAGCGGAAGGTAAGTCTTGTGCGGCCCTGCAACACCGGTCCCGTTACCGCGTTGTCACCCGCTGTGAAACACCGCTGGGCTGGCTCGTGGAGCTGAAGCGTTGACAAAGGGAAGGAGGGATCGGGGCGCACAGGGGGGAACCGGGGAGAGGAGGCAACGGAACGGAAGGGAGGAGGGAGGGAGGAAGGAAGAAAATGAGGGTGACCAGAGAGGGTTGACCAGAGAGGGTTGACCAGAGAGGGTTGACCAGAGAGGGTTGACCAGAGAGGGTTGACCAGAGAGGGTTGGCGAGAAGCGTGAAATTACTGATCATGACTCAACTCAACCTGCTGCAATCGCAAGGGCGCAACAGAAGAATCACCTGGCAGCAACAGATACTCACCTGGCGCCAACAGCAGGCCCACCTGGTGGCAACAGCAGGCCAACCTGCTGGCAACAGCAGGCCACCTGCTGGCAACAGCAGGCTCACCTGACATCAACAGCAGACCCACCTGGCGCCGACAGTGAGGCCGAAGGGATTGTAGTTCCCTACGTTTTGATACTCCCGAGAGTTCCTGGAGGGCGGGCCGTAATCCCCTGCCATGAACACCACTGTCACTCCGGCCTGCATGCAGATATAAGGACACATCCCGCCAAGGACACAAATTCCAGATCAGGCGCCCAAGAGAACAGCGCCCAAGGGAACACGCTGTGCACATGCACACCAAAGGGAGGCTCAAACTAGAGCTCGCTCGCGCTAACGCACCACGGACGAACACACATTCAATCAAGCACGCCTCAGCGCCCTCAGCCACTCACCAGATGCGCATTCAAATAGTGCAAGCTTTCAAAGTAAGGCCGAAGGGTCCCAAATCAAAGCCACCAGCAGCACGTGCACACCATCGGCTGTGTAGCGGCCTCCACCGCTGCCGCTATATCCAACGTACTGCAAACATTCCAGCCAAGAGCCTTGCTTTTCCAAAACGTCTTGTAGACCGCCAGGTGTGCCCGAGGGGCCACACCAGAGAGACGGCCGATGGAGGAGCCGAAGACAGGAGCCGTGGGGACGTTGGCACTGCCTGCTGCCGGCCCTGGGGAAGGGGAGAGGGGAAGGGAGAGGGGAGGGAGAGGGGAAGGGAGAGGGGAGGGAGAGGGAGAGGGAGAGGGGAGGGAGAGTGGGGCTGAGTCCAAGGCACCTGAATGCAGCAGCAGCAGTGGGGATTGAACTCTGAACCTGAGAGACCGTGTGCTGAGAGTGGTGGGAAGCCGACACACACAACAGAAAGCACTGGCTGGTGAGGTGACTGAGAAAGCTTCTCGGAGAAAGCATGCCGTCATCTCGTCCACTGGCTGCAGAAACACGTCCAGTGCAAGGCACACGGCAGCGGAGCTGCCTTGCCCAGCAAGCCAGTGCCCGTGGCAAAGATTTAGCCCGTACCAGTGCCAGTGCCAGTGCCAGTGCCAGTGCCCGAGTCGCCTAAAGCTTGTCAACTGGCTGTATGTATCAGCACGTGCAAGGCACAAGGAGGCGGAGCTGCCTTGCCCAGGGTGCTTTTGGAAACCTCAGAAACGCCCTGCAGAATCAAGGAGGCTTGCTGCGGTTCGAATCCAGCTCGCGGAGCTGCCTCGCCCAGCAAGCCAGTGCCCGTGGCAAAGCTTTTGAGTCGCCTCAAAAGCCTGACAACTGGCTGTATCAGCACCTGCAAGGCACAAGCAAAACTGCTGCCTTACCCTGCGAGCCACGTGCCGGTGCCAGTGCTGTCCCGGGGCGAGAGCCAGTCGCCCTTGAGGTCCCAGTCCTTCGTCCCAACCTCCTCCTGAAAGCCCTGGTAGAAGACCCTCGCCCCGATGAGCTTGCGGTTGCAAGCAGACGAGGGGAAGTCCTTGGTGGGCTCGCACCTGTGTGGGCGAGGCAGGAGGAATGGAGGCAGGGTGGGGCGGGAAGGGGGATGGAAACGAGGGTGGGGATGAGAGGTTTGGGCAATGAGCTTGCCAGCCGCTGCACGCAGACGCGGGGAAGTCCTTGGTGGGCTCGCACGTGCGTGGGCGAGGAGAGGGGGGAAGGGGGGGAGACGGGAGGGGATGCAAGGGAGAGCGTGTTGGGAAATGAGCTTGCTGTTGCACGCCGACAAGGGGAAGTCCTTGGTGGCCACGCACCTGCGTGGGCGAGGCGGGGGGGGAAGAGAGGAGAGGAGGAGAAGAGGGAGAGGAGGAGAGGAGGGAGAAGAGGGAGAGGAGGAGAGGGTTGGGCAATGAGCTTGCGGATGCATGTTGAAGGGGAATCCTTGGTGGGGAATCCTTGGTGGGGAATCCTTGGTGGGGAAGGTGAGGGGAGGCGGGGACGGGAGGATGCAGATGGTGGGAATGAGGGTGGAATGAGGGGGGGGTGGTGAGGAAGCCGACGGCCTGGAATGAGGTGGGTGGGGACGGGAGGAGGATGCAGGGGAGAGCGTGTTGGGAAATGAGGTGGCGGTTGCATGTAGATGCTGGAAGTCCTTGTACGGATAGCAACGGGGAGTTGGGGGGGGGGAGTGGTGGGGGGGGAGAGGAGGAGGTGGAGGAGGGGGTGACGAATAGGCAGAATGGACGCGCAGCAGTCCTTGGCAGATAGATCCCCGCTAATAACATGTGCACACCCTCACCTGCCCTTCCAGGTGGGTGGATGGAGGCGCGAGAAGGGGAGGGCTGATGAGCATGTCAGTTGAGGAAGGGTGCTCGGGCCAAATGCCCGACCCCACCACTCCAATCAGCATCCAATCTCCCTGCACCTGCCAATGAGGCGCAAGTTGGCAACTCGCACACACCCACCCATACTCCCACATCCTCACCTGCCCTTCCAGGAGGATGGAGGCGCGGAGAGGGGCGGGCTGATGAGCTTGTCCGAGAAGGAAGGGCCAAATGCCCGAATCCACCACTCCAACCACCATACCATCTCCCTGCACCTGCGCACCCTCTTGCTGTTGCTGCTGCTGCAGCGCTTGCTGCTGCGCCTGCTGCTGCCGCTGCACATGCAGCAACCCCGTCGGCCCTGCAGACCCTTCAGCCCACGGCGGTGACGAGTCTGATTGGCGGATCCGGCCAGATTTCCCGAGTCAACCGAGTCAAGCCAGTCAACGGAGGTCGAGGGGCGGGTGGAGAGCATGTGAATCGTGCTGCTCCTGTGCACGGCCACTACAGCCGGGTGTTGCTGTAGCTGCTGCAGCTGAGACGGCGAGAGCGCTGCTGCAAAGCCGCTGCTCACCACCTTGTAGCTGGAGGGGGAGGGGGGGAGGCGCGGGGAGAGGGAGGATACAGGAGAGGGGACACTGCTTTTGTTTTGAGTCGATTAAAGAAGCTGAGACGGCGAGAGCGCTGCTGCAAAGCCGTTGCTCACCACCTTGTAGCTGCGGGGAGGGGGGGGGAGCGAGAGGGAGGGCGGAGAGGCAGAGACGCGGGAGAGGGGATATGGGAGGAAAGCGAAGGACAAGACGGATGGAAAGGGGGACGTTCGGGATAAGGCGAGGGGAAGTAGGGGATAAGGCGAGGGGACGTACGGGATAAGGCGAGGGGACGTACGATAAGGCGAGGGACGTACGGGATACGGCGAGGGGAAGTACGGGATACGGCGAGGGGAAGTACGGGATAAGAAGAAAGAGCCACAGCTCCGCTCAGGTGATGAGATGAGTGCTTGCAGCGATGCGATGCGAATCGCCTGACTCACTCAGACAGAGGAGCGCAGGAGCAGAAGAGCAGAAAGAAGCGAGCGAGTCAGATGACTCACGCAACCGTGCAGCGCACTCACGCACGCACCTGCACAGCCCACACACCTGTGCAGTACGCGTGCTGGGACCACGCCAGCATCCTCCATGACTCGCGCCTGCAGGAACTCCAGGTACCCCAGGTATTGCCTCGCTGCAGCAGACTGCATGTTCACACGCGGCAGGCGCACACGCCTGGGGCCGTGGCTACAACCACTCCCAAAGCTCGAATGCACGTGCACAGCCCACCCACCTCCACAGCCCACACACCTGTGCAGTACGCTGGACGGGTCCACGGCAGCATCCTCCATGACTCGCGCCTGTAGGAACTCCAGGTACCCCATGTAGCTCTTCACTGCAGCAGAATGCATGTCCACGCGCGGCAGACGCACGCGGCTGGGGCCGTGGCTACCACCGCTACCAAAGCTTGACTGTCTCGAGTGGCCTGGCTGGGAGAGAGAGGATGCGCCACTGCCACTGCTGGCCCACACCAGTGTCAGGGTCAGCTTGAGCTGCGACTGTAGCAGGCAGCCCTTCCACGCCGCCTCGGTAGCTCGCTACAGCCGCCGCCCTCAGATGCACCAGGTACACTGGGTGGGCGCTGGCGGACCCCGTGCCAGCATTGCTGCTCGCCGACGAATCACCTTCTGCCACGTTGGCAGGGGAGCCGGGCGAGGTGAATCAGGCTGGCGCAGAGCAGAGCAAACATGAGGAGACCGTCTCCAAAATTCCAGGATCAGAAATATGGAGTAGGTATACAGTAGGTATGGCATAGGTACGTCTGCTACGGAGTAGCCTTGCTATACGAAAACTATACCTACAATATAGGAGAGATCCACATTTTTCTTCGTGACGAAGCCAACCCAATTCACAAGGGACGAAAATGAGCCCGATTCACACGAGTCATGGCGAAAGGGCGAGAACAGACTGGCTCACCTTCAGCCAGCAACACGGAGAGGAGCGAGAATAGCACCAGGACGGCCAATGCTGCACGCCGCAGCAGCAGAGGTCCCGCCATGGTCATGAGTCGAACCGAGGCGACGGAGAATCCGCTCCCTGCTGCTAATGCAAGCGTCTGAGACCGTCGTACCGGCCGCTGAGAGAGCTAAGGGGGAATCGCCTCGACCTATTCTCGGGAATCCCAGTGCCCTAGCCTCTTGTGTCACACTCGCCCTCAGCCCCACTGGAAAGGGAAGACGGAACAGCAACGGTTCTGAAGATGCCAGGTACGAGGCCCACGTGGCTAAATACGGTGCGCCGTAGGAGGCATGGAGAGCCCCCACCCTTCCATCCCCCCTCCCCAACCTCCTCAACCCCCTTCCCTCCCCCTTCCCCCTCCCTCCCCTCTTCGCCTTCCTCCCCTCCCACCATTCGTTTGAGGCGAATCGCTCCTTTAGGTAGAAGGTATCCTCCCAGGCATCAGAGGACTAAGTCCGACGTGGTTCCACCTTCCCCCGTCGTATGCATTGAAAGGCAAGCTGTGGACGAGAGGGCTCCAAGACTCGACTCGTGGACCAAATGACTCCTCGAATCGACTCGCCTAGTCCAAAGATAGGGCTCCAGGACTCTGAATCCTGCTACAGCCTGAGTCCGAGAGAGGCACGCCACTTTTTCGAGCCGCGGGGGCTTCTGTCGAATTGGTATTTCGCCCGCTTTCGCTGCTAGAAAGCTAGGGATTCAGGGTGAGCACGTTGGTAGTTACTTTTTTTGTCGCAATAGGGGAAGGTTTGGGTGGCAGAGTTCAGATTGCATATGTAACCACGGTAACCACCTATTAGGGCTCTAGTTCAGTCAGTTGCCTAGGGGTCATGCCATGCTGAGTCATCGAGCTGTTTCCCCTTTGCGGTGTTCCGTTGGTTTCCATTGCCCTCGTGTCCTTCGCGGCTTTGCGAAAAAGGCGAAAGGCCATTTGGGCCTGGACGAAAAGCCCTCGCGACGCCGTACGTAAATATGTGGCGAAAATGAGAAGGCTGCAACTGCTTCGTCGCTGTCGGCATGTTCATCGACGCTGTCATGATGACTCAGCACAGTAGCCGGCGCGGGGGACTCTCTCGAAACGGATACTGCCCGTAAACTTCTGCTATTGCGCGAGGGAGGGCGATTAGGATTTAATTGGGCAAGACACTTTGCGGACATCGCGTGTACGACCTCAAGCCTGCAACGGCCCCAAGCTGTCTTACTGCCCTCGCCGCACGGCTCGGCAACCTGGGAAACTTGTGAACCATATTCCATCTGGGAGATCCCAAAGACTCGAGAGCTACATCCGGGCAGAACCCTGAATGTAGAACACCACCGTATATAAGCCAGTAGGATTACAGCTTGCCACTAACAAGGCCGTTGAAGTATGAATTAAGAATATTCGACATATACAAGACCAAAGGAGGAAACGAACCGAAGGGGAAGGGACAATTCTATGTCACCCGCTTCTAGCTTCTTTTTCAAACCTTTCTGCACTCAAACTGTGCTCTTTATGGTCGTATCGTATTTCTCACCAATTTATGAAGGGAAAGAAATGACAGTTCATGCTCTGGTTGGTTCGTAAGCTCTCGTACAATACCTCAACTTTGAAAGCTGCATCTCGTTATATCGAACTTGCAGAGGAGTAGCCAACTGTGCGATCAGCGTGAGGTTTGCAGACCCCACTGATTGGCTGCTTTTCCCAACACGCTCTCTGGGTTGAACCACGCCACGCATGCGATGCTGCTCTCGTTGGCACCACCCTAAAGGTGAAGCGAAATGACTGGCGATTTTCGTCAATCGCAGTAACGATGTCGAAGGTGCGGAAGGGGTGTTCGGCAAAGTAGCAAGAAACTTGCCACGTTCGCCCACACTCCATCAGATAGAAACCCCACGACTCACTACTGCCACAACTTGGCAGTCTAGTTTGTGTGTTATCCTAGACAGTTGAGAAGACCTAGGAGCGTCCGTTGTCTGCGCTTTTACGGTTCTGTTAGAGTTGCCTCTTCGACCTGTCCTTTTAAAGCCCGTGCCATGGCGAAGCTTTCGGTGGCTCTCTGCGTAATTGCTGTTGCTTCCGCGCTGTTGGTGGGATGCCACGCTCGGCCATTTTCGGCTTCCAGTGCGTACTCCTTGTATACCGTACCGACACTGCCTACTACTTAGGTCTCTCTACCGCCATCATGGTGTAATAATATGACGCACGGTTTTTTCCCCTTGTTTGTCTTATCGTCCGTGGAGCGCATACCTTTCTAAATCTGCTTCTGTTTTCCTGATGACGCTTGAGCCTCCTCTCATTTCTTGTTTCCTGCAGTTGTTGTGACTGAAGCGGTGTCCGTTGGACCAGCTGTGCGCGGCGTGCACAACTGTGGTGCTTCAGGCGCAGATGGTGCTCTCGGATCCTGGCACCGCCGGCTGACGTCATCGACGCCGTTGAAACGTACGCGTGCTCGCAGCTCGACACCGAGAAGGAAGCCCAGGTGAAACCAACGTTTTTCCTCTTTTTTTATTTCCCAATCAGAGTTTTGTTTAGAGAAGCCAGAAGACAAAGCTTCATGTTGAGATAGAATCTAGGGGCAGGCGCGCTGCCTGCTATCCTTTACGCTTCCTCTGTTCCCTTACTCTTGTTCGTGTTTCTGTTAAAAACTGGACTCCTATCCCATATCGCATATTGTGTCTTCCAGTGCAACGCGATGGTGGAGCAGTACGTGCCACTGGTCATCGCTGAGATGAACAAGGATATCACCTTCGACAACGTCTGCGTGCGCTTCCACGTCTGCCCGCCAAACCCTGTTCAATCGCAGCCGTTGATCTGACCCCAGCGCCCGCCAGGGACAGCCTTGCCTACACCATTCAGGAGGCGCTGCTGGGGGAGGCTGTATCTGACCCTGAGGACGTGGCAGGTGCAGTGACTGTGGTCGGCGGAGTGACTGCTGTGGAAGGGGCAGTGGAGGGTCAGAGTGGGCTGACAAACCGGGAGGACTGTGTGGCGTGCATGCTTATGGTGCGGGTGATCAGGAAGAGGCTGTCTGACCCCAAGACACAGGTGATTCCCCTAGGGAGAGCGATGGGAAGGGTGAAATGGGATGGGAGGCAGTGAGAGAGGAAGGTTGGCTTTAGGGAGCTACAACTGTTATTATTCTTCTTCTATTTTGGTTTTCGTTTTTTAGAACTTGCTTCTGATTTTTCTTTCCGCTGAACTCCCTCCAGGCACACATCATGGACTTCATTGTTGGAAGGTGCAACAAGCTGGCCAATCAGAGCCTCACCGCTGAGGTAAGCCCACTGAGTTCTGGTTGCACCTTTCCACACATCACAGACTCGTCCCCTCTCCAATATCCTTGCCTTAACCTGCTGGTCCTTTCTTTGGTATAACTTTGAACCTTCCCACCTCTCCATGTTTCAACAGTGCATTAACGCAGCCGAGGACATTCTGCCGGTTATCTTTGAGGAGCTGCCCAAGGTGTTGGACCCCAGGAAGATTTGCAAGAAGGCTGGCATGTGTGCCTTGCCCCTGCTGGTCGAGGGTTCGGTGGATTCTGGTGGTGGCGAGGATTCCAAGCTTCCGCTGCTGCTTCAGCTGCCTTCAGAAAAGAACTAGTGGGGAAGGGGTGGCAAGTGGGGAAGGCAGTGTAGGTTGTCCGAGGATGGCTGGCTGGAGATGTAAATCTGGTGCTTCACATGGGTACTAGAACTGGAACCAAGCTGCATCCAGGCTTGGTATTGTACATACAGTTTTTCTTTGAGTTCCTGTGTGAGAACTACACATGGTTCGAATCCAGCCCCCTAGATTCATTTGGAGGTACGCTGATTGTATCAGAAATTCAAGTGATGGTGATAGAGGGAGAGTACACACAATATAGCTAAGTGTTGTACCCTCTAAGAGCTTACCCTATACAGTCTATACAAACATTAACAATAGACATGTTTGACACACCCCTAGACTGCATAGGGGAAAGTCCTAAACAACAACTCAGGGCCGGCACTACTAGTCCAACCTCTGAGACAAGGGTCTGAGCGACCAGTCAGAAGGAGTACAGACAAGGCAAGCAAAGAGCAGGGCGGCACTACTAGTCCAGCCACTAGGAGAGGACACAAGTCTAGTCTGAGTATACATATAAAGGACAGTACAAAGTCAAGGTCCTAGCAAGTGAGAGGCTACAGGAACTAGACCAAGCTGGACACAGTGCCGCTGATGATCTTTAGGGCAAGCGCCTTCGTAAAGATATCAACCGTGTTGGCACCTGAGGCCAAGTGTACTACGCGAGCCTGACGTCGCTGCTGTAGCTCACGCAGGAGGAAGTACCGCAGCTGAATGTGCTTCCGCTCTGCCCTCGAGTCGAGGCTCCTACACAGGAGGATCATGGCCCTGTTGTCAGCGAACAGGACCGGGGCAGAGCTAGGCCGCTCACCTAAGTCAGTGAGCAAGAAGGTCAGCCAGCGGAGCTCCTGTGCCGCATGGCACCGGCGTAGATCTCAGCCTCACAGCTGGACTGTGCAACAGACGAGGAGCGAGTAGCTCTCCACGAAACGGCACCTGAGCAAGGCTGAAGCGTAGCCCTGGTAGACCGGAGTGTCTCAGCGTCGTCTGCCCACGAAGCGTCTGTGTGCCAGTAAGGACCACTGGCCTGCGTCCTCCTAGCACTAACCCATGCCCGATGTACTAGGCAAGATAACGCAGAACCCTCTTAGCGGCAGACCAGTGCTGCGGTCGGTGTCTGCCTGTGGCCACAAAGCGAGCCAGGATGCTGAGAGGGTATGCGAGATCTGGGCGAGTGCAAGTCATCAGGTACATGAGGCAACCCACCCAGCTCTGCGTAGGGGCCGCTGGGCTCTACCAACTCCTCAGGCACTGGAGCGGAGAGCCTGTGGTCTACAGGCAGAGGGGTGGGCTGTGCAGAGGAGAACTGAAGGCTGAACTCTGAAGGACCTGGCGCACCAAGTGTGACTGAGTCAGGGTGATGGTGCGGCAGCTCTGTCCCTGGAGATCTGCAAGCCAAGGTAACGGCGCAGTTCTCCAAGGTCAGTGCAGGTGTGTCTCTTCAGCAGCTCTGCCTTCACGGAGGCCAGCGCGTCCCTGTCTGCTGTGGCAAAGACCAGGTCGTCGACGTAGAACGAGATGTAGAACGGAGTCTGGCCAGCACGAACGAAGAGTGAAGGGTCTGCAGAAGACGGAAAAATGCAGGTCAGCAAGCGTAGCACGGAGAGTGTCTGCCACTCACGGGGAGCCTGGCGCAGGCCGTAGACGGGGCGCCGCAGGAGCCACTGGTCCAGGAGGGAAGGTGCCAGTAAAGCCCGGAGGCGCGCAGGTAGACCTGCTCGTGTAGGCTGCCCTGAAGGAAGGCAGTGGAGAAGTCAGGAGTGAAGCTCGTAGTCACGCTGAGCAGCTAGGTGTAACAGAACCCGAAGAGTAGTCATCTTCGGGTCGGAGCGAAGTCTGGAAGAAATCCACCCCTCGCGCTGACTGAAGCCTCAGCCACATAGCGCGCCTTGAAGACAGGCGGCTCTCCAGGAGGGCGCTTCACCTTGAAGAGCAGCGGCCATCGACTACGTTCACCCCAGGCGGGGGAACTGCGTCGACGAAGGTGCCGGTGGATCTCCAAGATGCCATCTCCTGCTCCATGGCAGCTATCCACTGCGAGGCCCAGGGTCCGAAGTCGCCTCAGCGTAAGTGCGAGGGGTCGGGATGTCGAAAGCGTCTGGGTCACCCTCAGGGACTAGCAGCATGGAACAGAGATGGGGAGCAGCCTCGGAGAGGAAAGCAAGCTCGAACTGGCGGTCCTCCAGACGTCACTGCCAAGGGCAGAAGCACCCCCGACAGACTGAGAACAGGCAGGGTCAGAGACCAGAGCGGTGGCGTAGTCAAGGCGGCGGGTAGAGGCGAAGTCAGCGACCAAAGAGCGTCAAGGCACGAGACCGGAACAGACGGTCGGTAACGAGAGAGGCAAGGACCCGAGGAACGAGAGGACGAGCGGCACGAAGGTAGTCGGACAGCGGGGGGGCGCACAACAAGGGAGGACGAGGAGGCGACGACAGAAGGGAGGACGAGACGCGTGGGAACGAAGCAACATAGGGTGGGAGCGCAAGACAGGCGAGGCAGGACGAGCACGGGAGGACGGTGAGACCAGACGTGGGACGAGGAGTCGGGTCAGGAGACAGGGGAGGGGACACAGGAGGGAACGAGGGGGAGACGGGCCAGGGACGAGTCCGGCGGAGGGAAAACTGGGCCGTAGACAGGAAGAGGAGGAGATGGTCGGGAGGACCGACGCAGGGTCGGGGGACGGAAGGCCGAGCAGGCGAAGGGCGGACACCGTGGGGATGCTGCTGCGGCGGCACAACGGCGACACCTGGACCGCAAGCTGCTCCTCGCTACCACCCGCACTCTCCACACCCGCACCCCAGAGGGGACCACCCTCAGGGCGACCGGACGAGCACCCCCAGAGTCAGCGAACGGGGCTGCGACGGCGGCGGCGACGGCGACGGCTGCAGCGGCGGCAGGGCGGCGGAGGAGGGGACTGGGGAGGGGCGGCCGGCGAGGACTGCACCGGAGGGCCGCCAGAGTCAAAAGACTCCTCAACCGGGTCCACGACGGAAGGGGGTGACGTGGGAGACACCAGAGGGGGCGGGACGGGGAGGAGGAGGAGAGGGGCAGGGACTACCGGGGAAGGGGTGACCAGGAACAGGGGGGGGGTAACCGGGGGACCACGGTGGGGGAAGCGCGGTAGTAGGAGACGGACTCGTCAAAGGTGACGTCACGAGAGTGAAAGAAGCGGTGAGACGGCGGGTGGTAAAAGTGCCAGTCGGACGCGTCAAGGGGAAAAACCGAGGAAGACGCAGGGAAGGGTGCGGGCAGTGAGCTTGTCCGTGCCGGAGCACGACGTGAGCAAGGCAGCCCCAGACGTGGAACGCAGACGCGTCACCAGGAGACCCAGTCCACAGACGGGTCGGCGAAACCTGCGGCTGCTGAGGGTGCGGCCACAGGTTAAGCTGGTGAGAAGCGTAGCGCACACGCGAACGGCCACAGAAAATGGGTGCACCGCATGGACCATGGAGGTGCGAGCGACCTCCATGACCAAACGATGCGTCGCTCAGCGACCCATTCTGCTGTGGGGAGTCCGGTAGGGTGAACGTCTGGGTGATGCCCTCCGCACGACAAAAGCGACCAAGGACACCTGAGGCAAACTCGCCACCACGGTCAGAGTGAAGACGCAAGACAGGGAGACCGCGGTGGACACGCGCAGAGACAAGCCAGGGGAATGAGGGCGTTAGGCACGTCGGCCTTGCGCTCCAAGGGGAAGACTGTGGTGTAACGAGTGAAGTCGTCGACAAGCACAAGGAAGTAGCGCTCGCGACGCGGCCCAGGGACGGGGCGGGGCCCCAGACGTCCAGGTGCAGGGTCTGCAGCGGCGCGGCGGTAGGGGGGAACGAGGAGGAGTGAGGGGCACGGCGAAGCGACCCTCGACACAAGGCGTGCAAGGTGGAGCTGGGGAGGAGGGAAACGCGGGGAGGAACCTGGGAGACCAAGGACAAGACCGTGCTGGGACATGTGACGCAGACGCGGGAGCGCAGGGTGACCTAGGCGGTGGTGCCACAGGAGGGTCGGTGAGTGAGGGAGCGACAGGAGCAGGCAGCAGCAACTGGGTAGACACAGCCACCTGAGGGGGCGCTCCAGCCGGGGGGGCACGGTGTCCAGAGTGAACAGGCCGGACACCGGGTCCCGGGGAACGTGGACAGGGGGGCACCAGTGGCGGCCTCGGTACAGACAGCATACCGCTCGTGACCAGGGAACGTAGTGGTGACGCCAAGGTCCTGGAGGCAGCCGACACCAACTAGGTTTCCTGGAGAACGAGGGATATGCAGACCTGTAAGAGAGCCCGAAGGAACCGCCGGACAGGGAAGGGTGGTGGAACTGCGGGGCGACTACCGGACCGCCGGAGGGTCAGCAAGAGAAACGGCAGCAGGAACAGGAAGCGGCGTCAGGGTGGTGGAGTCGCGGAAGAAACCACCGAGAGGCGCCAGAGTCCAAGGTGAAGGAAAGCGAAGCCGAGGGGTCTGGCGACGGAACGACGGCGGAAGCACCAAGACTACACAAAGCAGGGGATCCTACGCCTGACGCAGCAGGGGAGGCTAAGCTAGGCACACCTACACTAGGCAACAGTGAGTAATAAGCGGAAGCACACTAGAGTCATCAGCATACATCACATGCAGAGCAGAAACAATGGCATCCATGTCCATATCAAAGATCTGAATCTGACGACTAAGCAAACTGTGCCAGTCCGGGAGGTCTGGCGACGGGCCGAAGCGCTGACGAAAGAGGTCGTCCAGGCGACGAAAAGCGGGGAGTGGAGTGACCGATCTTACCGCAAACGAAGCCGCGGCGAGGACCGGTCTGGATCTGGTACTGACAACGCCCGCCGCAGAGCCACCACGCGGCACACCACCACGCGCCCGGCCACCGCCAGCGCCGGGCCACCCTGGCGGGAGACACTCGTCTGCCGCGTCTGCGACGGCTGCTGCGGCTGCTGCGAAGGCTGCGACTGCGGCGGCTGCTGCGGCTGCTGCAACTGCAGGGGCGGCGACTCAGCTGGACTGGGCAGGGTCCCCTCGTCCGCTCCAGCACCAGGCGACCCGACCCCACCACTACCCCGCCCGCACCCCCCCGCCTCCTCCGCCGCGCCCAGCCTTGGGGCGGCGGCCCTTCCCCGAACGGACCTGCGCTGCAGCAGCAGTCTCAGCCACTGCGGCAGAGCCGTCGGAGAAGGTACACTGAGCGGGCACAACCCTGAAAGATAGGGACCGGCACGACACCGCTCGCCTGGGCGATGGAGCGGTGACGGGTCTCTATCACAGTCAGGGTGTCTACAAAGTCAGTGAGG